CATCTCATCGAGGATGCTGTCCCTCTACCCTCTCAAGCATGATGTCCCTCTCTAAGGACTGGACCCTCCTTGCAACATGTCCAAAGTATGTCAGACGAAGCTTCAGAATCCTTGCCTCCTAGGAGCAGCCTGGTTTCACCCTCTCCAGGATGAACCTGTTTGCTTAGCAGTCCATGGTATATTCAGTACTATTCTCCAGCACCACAGCTCAAAGGCATCAATTCTCCTTCTATCATCCCTAGTCATTCTCCAGCTCTCTGATGCATAATAAGTGATTGCAAAGACCATGGCTTGTATCAGGTACACCTTAGTCTCCAGACTGACTTTGTTGCTCTTCAGTACTTTGGACAGGTCTCTGGCAACAGACTTTCCCAATGCAATACGTACTTTAATTTCCTGGCTGCTATTACCAAGAATGTTTATTGTGGAGTCAAGCAAAGTAAAGCTGTTAACAATCTCGATCTCTTCACCTTCTGTCATGATGCTGCCAGTTGGCCCAGTGGTGAGAATCTTTTTTTTCTTGATGTTGAGCCTCAATCCATATGGAAGGCTGCAGTCCTTGACCTTCTGCACACAGAAAACTTGAGATATAAGCAATCATATCAAGGGATGGATAGTGGGAGTTAGGTGTTGAATGGAGTAGGTGGGAGTAGAAGGGAATGCTGGTGGAGCAGGGAAGGGTGAAGACACATGTTTCAAGGGCAGGGACAACATTGAAATAATGCCCATTACAGTACTTAGTTTAATTCCTTGACCTGATGCTTTCATGGTTGTTGATTGTGCATTTGAGTAAAATATAATTATTGACAACTTTAATCTTTTCTCCATCTATTAATATGTTGCCTATTGGTCCAGTGGTGAAGACTTTTGTTTTCTTGATATTGAGACGTAATCCATAGTTAAGGCTATCATCTTTAGTCTCTTTAGTCAGTTCTTCAAGTTTTTTCCACTTTCTGCAAGAAAGGTTGTGTCATCTGCATAACAAATGAATCTTCCTCCTATCCTGATTCCTTTTCATATGGTCCAGCTTCTTGAATTATCTTCTCAGCATATAGATCGAATTGTTGTTGCTATGTACTGTTAAACTGGAACCAACCCATAACTGGCCCTCAAGCAGGTTTTCAAAGGCAGTAAATTGAATGGGAGGAGATTGCGTATTTTTCTCTCACAGAGCAGCTGGTGGATATGAACCATATGTCTTTGGATTTGCAGTGCAGTTCCTTACCAGAGCTTCACAGATTGAATAAGTATAAAGAAAAGACCCTGGTGCACATATTTTCTGGTTTTAAATCATGAAGTATCCCCTAGTTCTGTTCAAATAACTACTTTTCAGTCTATATATAGGGAGCACCACCGGTGGTTTAGAGGTAAGAAGGGGAACTGCAATCCCTAAAGCATGCGATTTGAATCCACCAGCTGCTCCGTGGGAGAATGTTTCATGGACAATGTCTTCCCATGTGACCCACTGGACGGTCAACTATGGGTTCCAACTAAATGTGGTACACAACAACAACAATAGTCTATAGATATTGTCACATGAGCATAATTAAGTTCTGAAATTACTATTCTCAATGTTATTAATAACTCATTATGATTCACACAGTCGAATGCCTTTGCAGAACAAAGTCAGATAATCCAATATGGTATTTTAGGGTAGATGGACATATAGGTGCCAGAAAGGAAAATTTTAAGAGATATCGAACATTGGCATAATTCTTTCTACTACCTTAATGTTCTTTTGTGAACTAGAAATGACAAGCATTATTGTAGTCATGTTGTTGTTATGCACCGTCGAGTCATTTGCGACTCATAGCGACCCTATGTACAACAGCCCTAAACCCTGCTCTATCCTGTGCCAATCGCATTGCCTCTGACACACTCATCCCGATTACCCCAGTCACTGAATCAATCCACCTCATAGAGGGTCTTCCCCTCCTGCGCTGTCCCTCCACCCTCCCAAGCATGATGTCCCTCTCCAAGGACCGGTCTCTCCTCACAACATGTCCAAAGTATGTTAGACGGAGCCTCAGAATCCTTGCCTCCAAGGAGTAGCCTGGTTTAACCCTCTCTAGGATGAATGTTTGTTTTCTTGGCAGTCCATGGCACATTCAATACTCTTCTCTAGCACCACAGCTCAAAGGCGTCAATTCTCCTTCTATCCTCCCTAGTCATTGTCCAACTCTCTGATGCATAACAAGTGATTGCAAAGACTGTATTAGGCGGACCTTAGTCTCCAGAGAGACACCGTTGCTCTTAAGACTATGAAAAACACAAAAATATAAACAAGTATGGTCCTAGAGCATTACTAAAGCAATGGGAAATCATGTAAAGCTCTGAGACCAGAGATTGTTTGATTTAGAAATTATATTTATTTTTAAATAATTTAAATAATTAAATATTTTAAATTTAATTTATATTATATTTAATTTATATTAATAGTCTTAAACTTTTACAAATGGCATGTGCACCTTTAAACCATTGTAAATAGCGAGAAAAGGAAATTACTTAAAATCTGACCACCTTTCTTTCAAGATAATCACTGAAAATGCTTACATTGTTTCAAATGTCCCTCAAATTGGGCCATTTAAAACATGTTGCTTGTAATCAATTTTTCCCCTAGAGGATAAATTGTGAATAGCTTTTTCTGTCAATAAATGGATCTAAAAAATAATTTTTAATGGCTGCTTAGTAGTGCATTGCATGTATATATAATTTATTTAACAAGTTCCCTATTGATAGGCATTTACTTTTCACCTCGCACTCTCACAATCAACAACCTCATATACTTTGTGTATTCATCTTTTCAAAATTGTTTATTTTTTTTTTGAGGGCTAGATATACATAATTTAGCATTTAAATAATCTTAAATGTACAATTCAGTGGCTTGATGATCTTTTTAAAAAAGACATATTTTTACAAGGAATGAAGCTGGGTAAAAAATAGGCCTTTTTATTTTTGTATTCACACTGTCAAATCGTTAGATTTGCAAAGAGATGCCAGATGAAACGTCTTCGTGTGAGACAGTGACAACAGAAAATGAATACAGACGCACAGGTGATTTAGCGCATGTAGGCCTGTCCTTGGTGGGTTGGCATAGTTTCTCCTTTTCCCCGCTCTTTCGCCTCATTTTCTTAATATGGAGGAAAAACTGAAAACTGCATCTCCCAGAATTTCGCAGGGACCACACTCTAGAACTGCAGTAATACCGGGTCCGAGAAGGGTACAGAAAGCGGGCCGGATGCTGCTGGGAATGCTGGGAAATGTAGTCCAGACGCTATCGCGTCTGTGTTTTGTGTGCATGCTGAAGGGCAGGCGGTGTGTGTTTGTGTGTGTGTGCGTTTTGAAGGGTGAGGGGTGTCCATGTTGAGGCGCAGCCGGGGACACCGCGAGCCTGGCCATTTGGAGTTGGGGCTGCAGGACGACCTGAGTTTCCTCACATGTTGTCTTTGAGTCTTGAATAGCCTCCTTTAGATGGTTGGCTTTATTCCATTGTCCCAGACCCGGAAAGGCGCGGCGCCGCTACCCTAGGAGTCGGGCGGGAGGCGCAGGTCGGAGCAGGGCATGCCGGGAGTTGTGGTCTTGGCGCAGTGAGGCGGTGGGACGTGTCGCGGCGCCCCGCCGGCTCCTCCTTCCCCGCCCTTCTCAGCGGTCCCCCGCCCCCTCCGCCCGCCTCCTCCTCCCTCGCCCGCAGCCGAGTGTCCCCTCCCCCAACCCGTCGGTCTCCTCGGCGGCTACTGCAGAGGTTTCCGAGCCGAGTCGCTGAGCAGGAGTCTCCCAGTCCCTGCGCGCCATCGGCCACCCTGCAGACACGGCTAGAGGAGCGAGAACGTCGCTGCCAGCCGCCAGAGAAGACAAGGGCATCGCCACCTAAGCCGCCGCCGTTTTCGACTGCAGTCGCTCGCCGGTAAGGACCCTCCTCCCCTTTTTTCCCTTCTCCCCCTCCCCACTTGGTCCGCTTGTGCGGAGCCTGGGCCGAAGGTACTGGGGAGCATAAGAGTGGGGGGCTGCGGAGCTTCCGGGTGGCTTTAGGGGAGGGGGCTACTGTCGAGATGGAACGGCGGGCTGGCGGGGGAGACTTGTCCGGGCGCGGGCTGGGGGTGGGGAGAGGGTGGGACCCAGGCAGGTTGAGAGGGCCACAAGGGAGGGGGACTTTTGATGGCGATTGACCCAGACTGAGACAGGAGCATGGAGTGAGGGGCTCGGCAGAATTTGGGAGGATGCTGGGGCGAGATAGGAGGTAAGACTGGAGTGGGTTGCTTTTTATTGGGGGAGGGGACTGAATGAGGGGTGGATTTGGGGTTGGCCTGCAGCAGTTGACAGCTTGGGATCTGTGCTGTGGTGGGAGGTAAGGAATGCTTTCATTGGAGAATGGGATGTACAGGCTTGGAAAAGAACCCTGGAGGGTGGAATTTGGGGTGGGCCCGGGACAGGGTGATGAAGGTGATAGGAACTGGAACGAGGAGCATACCATTGGTTGGGATCTGAGCCTGAAGTGGGCGCTTGTCATCTGGGGTATGTGGAATTTAATGGAGGCTTATGGAGTAGCAGAGGTGGGTATAGAGCAGAAGAGGTGGAATTGGGGACTTTCCCCAGGATGGGCCAATAGAGCATGGAATAGGAGGTGAGATTTTTTAACGAGTGGAGTGTGATGGTGAGCTGGCATTGAGGAAGGAATTGGAGTTAGGCTCAAAATGGGCTGACAAAGATTGAAATTGGGAAGGGAGCACACACAGAGGGGATTTAGGGTGATTTTTAGAACCATATGATGGGTGACTGGATGTAGGGTTGAGGCAGAGGACACATAAGCAACTACTGGACTGACTGTACTCCCTGATGAACAGTGTTGGGGAATGGTGTATTGAAGAAAATGTCCCTCAGCCATGGTGGTCAAGGTGTCGTAGAGAGCTTTGGAGAAGGAATGTCTGAGACAAGCTGGTATGATAGGAGAGGTGGTTAACGATAGTGTAGTTGCAGAGGGATAATTGAAGTAGTGGAAGACCTGGAGGTGTAGGGATGGATAAGGCAGAGAGGATGGAATAGGCAGTGAGCAGGGCTGGGATTCGGTGGGTAGGATGATGATTCTGTAGAGGAGGGTTTGGGATGGCTTCCAGGAGAGACATGAGGGTTAGAGGTTGAAACATTTAAATGGACAGCTCTGGTGGCTATAGTTGGGAGAGGGGATAGTCAGAAGATTGTTAGAGGGAACTTTAGAGGGAACACAAAATCTCTCTTGAAAACTGTCTTCCCTAGAGGATGTTTTAAGCTGTGAGTTTGATTCCCCCCCTTTATATCAATATCATATTTGAAGTTAAGTCAACCCAGAGAATAAACTTCAGGGTTTCAGTTAGGGTAGAATTAAGGAGAGGAAGATTTCTTCTTTTTGTTATTAAGATATCATAAAAAGAAAATTGGGGAGAGGAACCCACTCCCAAGCTAAAGATGGGAGAAGATGCAAATGGGATATGGTTTCTTTCTGTATGATGTCTCTGCCCTTGCATTTAATGGATACTCTCTGGTGCATTTAACAACTAATCCTGAAATTTGGAATTAAGTAGATTGGATGACATTGAGGTTGTTAAGAGAAGCATTTCTTGCTTGAGACCCGATGAATGAGACTGAAAAATATAAGGCTAGATTTGTTTTCTGGTCAGGCAGTCTGCGTTCCTGTATGCAGAAAGAGCTTAGACCTTTTCTTCCCCTCTTAAAATTGATTGCTTGAAGACTGCATTTATTGGTGTGCTGGTTTGCAAGGCAATTAGACCCATCATTGTATTGCAGGCTAGTAATCTTGAGATGAGTCTTGGCACCATTGCTTTAATGTAAACAGAGAATGCAGGAAATATGGAAATATCATAAATATTCACTGTTGAGATGGTTTGGTACTGATTAAGTTTTTCATTTGATTCTCTTTTGACTATGCTTGATACAATTTAAAGTAATTGGACTGTATTACTATAGATTGAATTTTCTCCTGAAAGATTTCAGGTGATCAAAAATCTGTCACATATAGATTAAGGATATCGAGTCATTTTCATCTTTTTTTGGTAGGGGATGGTGTTGATAAGGGCACATTGCCTTAACCACAAAAACATTATCTCCTTCTATTGAACAGAAATGTGATTTAAAGCTTTAGTGATGTATTCATTCTTATGGCGGAATGGTGATAATGGAAGGAGAGAGGGATGTGAATAAGGAAATAGCTTTATGGAAACCGTTTTTTTGTTTGTTTGTTTGTTTGGTTTTTTTTCTGGACTTAAATTGCATTAACTATGATATGTTACACATGAAGTGCCTGTTAGAGTTCAGACAAAAAATGGGGAGAGGTGTAAAGAGGATAAAAGTAATTGGTGGGATCAAAGTAATTCTTTCTGTTTTGTTCAAGCTTCAGAGTAACAATTTTCCTTTGGTTTCATAGTTCAATACATAAGCAAGATTCAGAATATGTAAAATAAGTTCCTAAATAGGCAGAATAATGGAAGATTAGAGTTACCCTTGGAAGGGAAAGAGATTTTTTTTTTGGTGAGGAAGCTTTCAATATTACAATAAAAATCAGGTCTGAGCAGTTAACGTTTAATTCAATGAGAATGTAATCTAACTAATGCAAGTAATTCTTCTCATAACTTTACACTGGAGTTCAGACATTGCTTTTGTGGATCTACAGGCCTGATTTAGAGGTGGGCTAGTTTTATGAAAGTTGTAGCTTTTGAAAAATAATTACTTGAGATAAATGTTTTGTTGGAACTTATTTGCTTATTTGTTTGTTTTCTCCATGTTTGTGATCACCTATTCAGTAAAAATGTACGTAAAGTTTTTTAGTATCTTTATTCCATCTGATCCTTCAGAGCCTAGTGGGAAAGGGAGAGAGCCGGTGGAGGTATTGGTAGATAAGGAACTTGGTAGAATGAATGCTCATGGATTTGGGATTCAGTAGTTCTGGGTTCATAGCTCAGTTCTACCATTTTGAGGGCTGAGTGGTTTAGGTAGAGTCCTTAAAAACCTTACACACTTTACAAAGCTATCTACAGGAACATATCAGCCCAAGTAGTGTATGCTCTGAGAACAGAGGACATTTTTATTCACCATTTATCTGCTTCTTTAATGCCTTATCGGTGCTAATGAAAGTAAACAAAAAAACAGTTGTCAGCTTTTAGTGTCATGGAACAAGATAATTTAAATATAGTCATTTTGCATAGTGTCATTTGAGACAGGGTGGTCCCAACTCCTACAGAGTCTTTTATATTAAAAATTTGAGGTATATACAATGGTTCATAATAACGAACATGTGATAGCTACAATGATGTGCTTAAAATACTTATTGTTATTATTGCATTATGTTTAAGATTCCTTAAGTATATCTGAAAGTACTTTTTGAATTTTTTAAATGCATATAAAAGTACAGTATATGCTATCTATGAAGATAGACAGTCTGTAGTGTTGATGCAAACTGTACCTACCTGTTCCAATTTATGTACAGATTCAACTTAAAGACAGATTTAGGAATGGAACATGTTTGTAATCTTTAGCTGCCTGTATATAATATGGTGTTTGAACAATATCCAAATCATATAATATACTGTCTCACAGAAAGTATCATGGATGTTTAATGTTACATGTCTGTGAAAAATGAGGCAAAAATATTTAATGGTTAAGAGTGTATACCATGAAGTTTCTCTACCATTTAGTATTAACTGTATGTAACTTTGGGCACAGTGATCTCATCTTTAAAATGGAGTTAATAGAACCAATCTCATAAAGTTGTTTTGAGGGGTAAATAAAGGAATTCCTGGAAAGTATTTGATTGTGTTTGATAACCCATTGCTTCTAGAACAGTGTAGAATTGCTACATAGTGTTTCAAAGACTGTAAATCTTTATAGAAGTAGACTGCCACTCTTTTTTTTATTTTTTTAAATTATTATTAAATTTTATTAGTTTTAATGAACATTTACAG